GCCAGATAGCTCAGTGGATTAAAGCACTTGCTTAGGCAGTTACAGGGGGACCAGGGGTTGATCTCTGGCCTGCTGGCCACTCCCAGGGCTGCTGAGATGGCAACTGAGACTGGGTGTGATGGTGCACACCTGTAATCCCAGCACTCGGGAGGCTGAAAAACAGGAAGGATCACTACAATTCTGATGTGTGTAGTGAGAACTCAAAGACCCTGTACTTAATACATTAAAAAAAAATGTTTAAAAAGATATTTGGTAATAATCTAATGAAATAAAGTGGGAAAACATAAAAATCTGGACTTTTTTTTCACAAATTAGCTCCTAAGATTAGCTCAGGCAGGGCTAAGCAATGGTTCAGGTACACTCCAAGGAGGCAAAGGAGAAGTTACTGCAACTCTTGGGCTCTGGTGTGATTTGGGAAACAAATTTGTGAGGAAGTTTCTATGCAGCAGTGTCTGATGAGTGATTTCTAGAATAAAGTTAGAGTTCAAACAACATTGGGAGACAGAGATTCAAGAAGCAGATGTACACAAGTGCCCCTTTAAGCAAAAGGCCTGAGACAGCCTCAGAGAACATCCATCTGCTAGGGTAAAGGGAAAGTAAGAGAAAGCAAAGTGAAACCAGTGCATGATTAAGGGTACCCAAAGTAGAATCAAGGACACTGGTCCACATCCCCTTAGAACTTTCACAGCTCTAGCACCATTTCTTCTCTGATATAAAAAAAAAAATTTACAAATAACACACATTGTTAGGTCAATTCCCAGGCAAATCACTTCAGCTACAAATTATTGACTTAGCCTCTTGCTAATATAGGGCTGAAAATCCAAGAAAGAGGTGGCAAATGCACACTTCTCAAGAACCCTGTGAACCGGGCTGTGGCTCAGTGGTACAGCACTTGCTGAATACCCAACCCTAGCACCAAATCACATCACTTTTCTTCTTTTCTCCTCTCCCTGTCTTTGTGGTACTATGCACTGTACCATCAGGGAGGCCCAACAACCTGTGACACAGACAGCTGCTAACTACTCAACTGAGAAAAAAAAACAAGGTATCATCAAACTTGTATGCTAGACCAAAGGCTGACAACATTAACTCAGGAAGTGTATGGCCTCTGTCAACTGAGTTCCTCATCTGAAATGGAGAGAGAATAGTCCATGACTACAATTTAGTGAAAATGGATGAGTAAAATAATTGCAAGTATACTTGGAAAAACATGATACCACATTCAATACACTCAGATTAACTCAAATAAAAATACCTGAGTGTGCAAGAAAACTGCCTCACACTCTAGCACATGAATTCCTTAGCTCTAAGTACCAGGTGATGTTCATTCTATGAGATTTCATGAAACAGTAGATTATTAATATTGCCTCTTCAAAGATTATAAAACAGGAGCCAGGATATGACTCAGTAGAATAAGTGCTTGCCCGGCAAGTGCAAGGGCCTGAGTTCAAGCCCCCGTTCTGCAAAGAAAAGAAAAAAAGATTATAAAACAGCCAGGTGTATTGGTGCATGCCTGTAGTCCCAACATTTGGGAGGCTGAGCCAGGAGAACTGCCTTGAGTTCAAAAAAGGAAGGAGGAGAGGAGGAAAAAGGAGGAAGAAGGGATGGGAGGAGAAGAGGGAAAGAGAAAGAGGAGGAAGAGGAGGAGGAGGAGGAGGAGGAGGAGGAGGAGAGGAAGGAGGAAAACGAGGAAAAGGAGGAGGTGGCAGCAACCAAGCCAGCCAGATATAGCAGCACATACCTATAGTCCCTTCGCTTGTTAGGGGAGGGCTTGTGGAGGCAGGACTAGAGTTCAAAGCCAGCCTGGTCTACACAGAGAGACCTGGTCTCAAAAAAATAAAAGAGATGATAAAACAGGCTAAGAAAAGCACTATTTCTAAGGGGTTGAACACTGGGCAGTGGCACAGCACAGAAGAAAACAGTATAATGTAAAGATAATTTGAATCACAAAGCCCTAATCCTTTATTATTGTATACTTTTTTTGGTGGTACTCAAGAATCCACACTGAACTACGTCCCCAGCTTCTTTATAAGTTTTTTTTTTTTTTTTTTTTTTTTAAATTTTGAGATAGGGGACACAGGAGATAGCTCAGGGTCTAAGCACCTGCCTGGAAAGCCCAAGGACCTGGGTTTGATCCCAGTACCACATGCCATGCTGGCCACCAAAACCAGGCGTGGTGGCCCACACCTGTAATCCCAGCACTAGGGAGGCTGAGACAGGAGGATCACCGAGTCTGAGACCTTGTACCAAATAAAAAAATCAATGAATAGGGGCCGGCGAGATGGCTCAGTAGAATAAGTGCTTGCCTGGCAAGCTCAAGGGCCTGTGTTCAATCCCTGGTTCTGGGGGGGTGGGGAGAGATTTTCTTTTCTTTTCTTTTCTTTTTTTTTTTTGGAGATAGGATCTCATAAAGTCTGTAATTGGCCAGGCTGGGCTTGAATTTACAATCATCCTGCCTTAGCCTCCCCAAGTGTTAGGATTGTAGGTATGCACCCACACATCCAGTTTATATATTAAGTGTTTATGATGATACTTATCAGAATTTCACCTGGTAACCAGTACTAAAATGTTATTTATTATAATTATACTAAAATGTTACTTATCTTCACTGCTGCTAAACAAACTGTTATGTAACTGACGTAAAGCTCTATGCTATCACAAAGGCTTGTCTGAATTAGTCTTGTTGAGGCCCCCACCATCCCTCACCTGTTACATCCACTCAGGGCCACAATGACCCACATATGGAGGCCTGGCCTCAAAGACTCGTACTGCAACATCCGTTATCTAGGACATACTCTACCATTTAATACAATTTTCTTGGCTTTAACAACCTGAGGTTTGTTTGTTAAGAGGCAGAGAGTTTTTTGAAAACTGGTTAAAGTGAGTGGCACCAAAAAGCCTCGTTAAAGTAGCTGAAATAAGAGAGAATTCAGATTTTGAGATGGGGATTAGAAATGGGTCCACTGCCAAGTCCAGAATCCAGGCTCCATTAACCGTACCTCAGGCCCAGGTTGGCATTTAGCTAAGCACAATGCAGTTTTGTACAGTGTTACAAGTTGATAAAGTTTCTCCTTCCCACATCCACATTTTTTTTAATCAAACTGCCAATCAAGACTGATTCATACCAAAAAAAAAAAAAAAAAGGCTGATTCAGTTTTTCTTTTCTCAGAGGGTAGGGGACACCTGACATTTCTTAAATCATTTTTCTTAATTGAAAACTGCATTTTCCATTAGACTGGGAGAAAAAAAGTGAAGGTACAGAATTGTACTTTACATGTCAATACAGAACACTGTATACAGTACTAAAAAACACCGTAACTGCCAATCTCCTCTGTAACAGTTTAAGAACTTAATAATTAAAAGTAGTAATAAATAAAATACTTTGTTTACCAGCATTTATTTAAAACTGCACATCAACGCAAAGCAACATGGGAAAACATGCCCTGGTAAAGGGCCTGAGCAGCACCTAGAGGCGCTGTGGTCAGTCACATGTGAGTGCAACCTTGTGCGCAGAACTTACTGAGAGCCCCGAGGACATAAGCAGTCAAGACAGAATCAGACTAAAACAGAAAATAACAGCATGAGAAAATTCAAGACTTTGGCTTTCTCAGGCATTTCCCCCCATATCTTTTAAGGAAAGGAACAAGTTTCATCAAGTAACAACAAAAACAGCCCAGTTCCTCTGCTTATGATAAGAAAATTAAAGACAACAAAAATACTTACACAGGACTGGAATTCAAAGAGCAATGCTCCACCATCATTTCTGGAAGGAAATCCAACTTAAACGCGGCCATCACCTCACTGTCCCCTTCAGAGGCCAATGATATTAACTTGATGCACTTGTCTCAGCCACAAATACACTCAGCTTTAGCTTCCTGGGCTCCACAAAAAACACAAAGTGGAAACAGGAGCTCAGGGAAACCAGCAGTAAGTGCTGCAGAAAGAGGCAGGTCTGGGGAAGGGGCAGGGAAGGGGAGGACTGCATTACAGCGGGGCTGTGACCATGTGAAGGGAGGCTCAGCCAGCACACAATGAAAGTGCTGATGCGCCAGGCTGGCTTGTTTTGTGTGATTTTCCCTGGCGAAGCAGTACTAAGTGCACTGTCAGATAAATAGTGTCAGATCCACGAAGATAGCAGTGGCCAACAGAGCAGAAGAAACAAACTTGTTTCACATCTCCAAACTCCTCCCTGCAAATCAGTTTTCCAAGTTCTCCAAACCCTACAAGTACCTAAAAGAGAGGATGGGGAAGGGAATGTCACACTGTGTGGCCTGAAAATGTTTTTAATCTCCTGGATTACTGGCTGTAGTCTTAAACTTAGTTTCTGAGCACCAAAGGTGGCAATGAGCAAGAACAGTACTTGGGTGAAAGCTAACCTCCGAATGGTCACGTAAGCAGGAGGGGGATGGACATCAGAAGCAGGCTGGAGGCAAACACTGCAAAATGGCCAGAAGAAACTTGGTGCTCACACACAACTACCTCCCCCTGTGAGAGGACCCTGCTTCCCAAAGGTGCTGAGGGTACTGTTACTTGGGTCTGTCAGAAAGGGTGTTAAGAATCTTTTGTTCAGTTGGGTGTGGGTCGCACAAGTTGGTAACCCAGCTACTGAGATGTAGGAGCATGGGGAGTTCAAGGCCAACCTGGGTAGCTTAGCACAGCTGGCTCTCAATATAAAATTTTAAAAGACTTGGGAATGAAGCTCAGTGTTAGATCACTTATCTAGCACACATAAAGTCCTAGGTACCATCTCCAGTGTGACAAAAATTAAAAGTCTTTGGTTCAGTAACATGCATTAAGTGGCACACACAAAATTTCTTTATTAACCTGCCAGAAAGCAAAAAAGTCCTACTTTGACTCTTTCTTGACAGCATACTAGGAAAAAAAAAATCTGTCAGTCCTCTGTTGACCTTTCTAAAGAAAGAAAAATCAAAAGCCAGCACAGTGATAATAAAGTAAGCACATTAAGGAGCAACACTAACACATGTAGAAAGGAGAGAGGTGCAGGCCAAGCCTATGCTAAGACCTGGGCTGGAACTCAGGGAAAGTCCTGGTTTGATCCCCAGAAAGGAGTGGGGAGGACACTGCCAAAACCAAGACTACCAAGTCCAAACATAAAAATTCTATTCTGGGCAAGCAGTGGAGATGGGTATACTTAGCAGTCAAGGCAGATGTGTGCTCCCATTCTCAATTTAGCTCCACATCCTTTCAAACAACAAATGGTGGCATTTCAATATTTAGGCAATGACTCTAAAATTTCATCTCTGTAGGCTCCCAAATTTCACAAGCTTTCTTTCCATTTTTTACCATTAGGCTTGTCTAACTGCAAAGATTTCACTTCATCCAAGCTCAGCTTACAGCACAGAGAACTTTGGAAAAAGGGGATGAGTGGAGTAGGGGCTGAGGAGATACCTCAGTAGAATAAGCGCTTGCCTGGCAAGGGCAAGGGCCTGAGTTCAATCCCCAGTTCTGCTCAAAAAAAAAAAAAAAAAAAAAAAAAAAAAAAAAAAAAGAAAAAAAAAGAAAGAAAGAAAAAGAAAAAGGGAACAGGGACTAGGTTCAGCCTATAAAGAATTAAATGAATGATGCACTGAACATGCAGTTACTTTCTGCTTGTCTGTTTTTGCAGTGCTGGGGATAACTGGGGCCTCATGCACGCTAGGCTACCAGGAAGCTCCACCCCTAATGACAGGCAACACATGTGGCCCAGGCCTAGAGGTTGCCATCTGTGTAGACACCTGGCCTATGTGGCCGGGGAGATGGCTCAGTGGAATAAGCGCTTCCCTGGCAGGTGCAAAGGCCTGAGTTCAATCCCGGTTCTGGAGAAAAAAAAAAAAAAAAAAAAGACACCTGGCCTAGAAAGGGACAAGCTGGATCTTCTCTCCAATATCCAGACAACTGCCCACAAGCTAGAACTAGAACAGCAATTAAGTGTTTTATTTGTCCGAGGCTTAGACTCAGCTGGTCTATGTTGGAGGTACAGTGGCAGGAGTTCTCCCCTATCCTATTAAAATGCAGCATAAAGGGCTGGGGAGATAGCTCAGCAGCAGAAGCACTTGCCTGGCAAGCACAAGGTCCTGAGTTTGATCCCCCATACTGCAAAAAAGAAAAAAAAATAAAAATAAAAATAGAAAAACCAGCATATGCAAGATACAAGTGAGAGGAGACTGTGTGACCCATACACAGTACTACTCCCTTCCCCTGATGCCAGGCTGCACTGGTGAGCCTGGCTGGGATGAGCAGGTCACTGGGAGATTTGTCCTGGTTTCTTTATGTACACTGGTATTGCTGAAAGGACTCCTATTAAAAGCAACCTGGACCACAGGGCAATTCTGGGTCAATAACCAAGTTAAAATATTTGGTTTAAGAATTCCATTTAGAGCTGGGGAGATAGCTAAGTAGTATAAGTGCTTGCCTGGCAAGCACAAGGTCCCAAGTTCAATCCCCAGTACCGCCAAAAAAAAAAAAAAAAAAAGAATTCCTTTTAAAAGGGGATCACCAAACCTCAAGTAATTCTACTGGTTAACTGTTACCTGTTATTTACTGAATATACATGCATTCTAATTATGTTTCTGTTTGAACCAGAATCACATTTGTAACAAAGAGTGCTTATCATGGGAAAGTGAGTCACAAGGAACTGCCCAGGGTATGGAAGGATGTGTGTGCCTTACACTAATTTTTATCAAGCTGCAGCCTGAGAAATGCTGGTTCAAATTTTAAAACCATTTTTCCCAGTTACAGAACTTTTACTTAAAAGAAAGCAGTGAGTGGAGGTACCACCAATTCTGTGTTTACACTGCTAAAATCCATTTTGCTACTTACAAAGCAATAGTGCTTTAAAACCTGTAAGATGGAAATGTTATGACACGATGGAGAGAGCATCTCTGGCAGTTCTGAAGAGTTAATCACTGTATAATTAAATTCAACATGCTTATGGGAAAAGAAAGCACAGAAATTAATCACAAGTCACTCAATTTTAGAAAAGGGTTATAAAGTTAAGTGATGATAAAAAGAATTATGGGAATACAAAAACCTAAGATATTAAGGGAAATTTAAAAAGTAGAATTAAAGTCAGTCATTCAGAGAAAGCGAAACATATTTTCAAAAAATTTCTTTTTCTTAATTAGGCACACATTCCAGACTTTTTCCACAGAGGACACATTAGAAAGAAGATGGCAGGGTGGTTAGGATCTACTGCAAAAGAAGACCTTAAATTTTCCTCAGTCTTTTTACTCCCGTTCTTTCACTCTGAATTTGCTTCTATGGTTTGCTCTACGCATGCTAGTTGCCTGCCTCGGTTCTGTTTGACTCTTTTTTAAGGGCAATAATTGAAAGCTGGATTATGAGACATGAGAAGCAAGCAGACTGATACCTCAGCACTCTAGGATGAGGCAAGAGAATCACAAGTATGACCCCAGCCTGAGTAACTTAGTAATAAGTCCCTATCTTAAAAAAGGTGGAGTGGGGGACTGGGATGTACCCTAGTGCCAATTTCCAGTTCCAAAAAGAAAAAAAGAACACAAAATAATTAACTGTTCATTATAGATAAGAGAAACACACTCAAGAAAACTGTGTAGGGCCGAGGTGTGGCTCAGTGATAAAGAGTTCTTACCTTGCAAGCACAAGCCCAGCACCACACACACGCCATGTTGAACAGAATACATATTACAATTTTTAAAAAAGAAAACATACTTTGCTTTTTTTTTTTTTTTTTTTTTGCAGAACCAGGGATTGAACTCAGGCCCTTGCACTTGCCAGGCAAGTACTATATTCTACTGAGCCATCTCCCCGACCCCTATATTTTGCATTTTTAATGTAGGAACGGAAAAATTTAAAGAGGACCATGTAAAGAATGATTAGAAAGAAGGGAGAAGTGCTAGAAATATGCGGCATTTTTTAGCTGAAAGGGGAAGCATAGCTGAGCAAAAGGACCTGGGTGGCATCTGCAAACCTGTCCTGACTCGTAGACAATGAACCACATCTCATGTCTACCCCACAAGCTAACTGCATCTAAGAGGACAACAGCATGAAGTCTGCTTCTAGAGCACAGAAGAGATTAAAGACTAACCCTAAATTATAAAGATATATGCATGCATCATGAAAAATTGTCATCAGTTTATGCAAGGAAACTAAAAGTACAACCATCTAGAGAACAGTCATAACCTTTGAATATATTACAGTCGTAACCTTACTAAGGAGACTACAACTGATAGCAGTGAAATAATAGAAGGGATATAGAAAATAAGTAAGCAACTAATAACCTGTTAAAACTAACCAACTGCCAGGTGTGGCATACGCCTGTAATCCTAGGACTTGACAGGCTAATGCAGGAGGACTGTTGTGAGTTCAAGACCAGCCTGCGCTACAAAATGAGTTCAAGGCTATTGTGAACTGTATAGCCAGATCCTGTCTCAAAAAGGCTTAAATAAATAGGGGCTGGGGTGCCGGGGAGATGGCTCAGTGGAATAAGTGCTTCCCTGGCAAGTGCAAAGGCCTGAGTTCAATCCCCAGTTCCGAAAGAAAAAATAAATGAATAAATGAATAAATAGGGGCTGGGGAGATGGCTCAGAAGAATAAGCGCTTCCTGGCAAGGGCCTGAGTTCAATCCCCAGTTCTGCCAAAATAAACAAACAAAACAAATTAACCATGAAGAGAAATCTATAATTTTAGCTTAAAATCTTCAGGGACTTAAATTTTACTTCAAAATGTGAGTACCTGTCTCAGAACAGTATGGAGGCTGATTGAGAGTTAAGTTCAAGGTCAGCCTGGGAAACAGCAAAATCCTATGTCAGAATAAATAATGATAATAATAAAGTAATCATAAATTGGCAATTACCTCCAGAGTATCCTACTTTATGGGGCTTTTTCTTGTGTTGCTCTTATTACAAAAACATGACAGTTAATAACAACAAATAAACTCTTAGGATCCTTAGGATCCTAAAACAATGCAGAAATTTTTGAATGTGGTAGGGGGTGAAATAAAGATGAATTAAAATACTGTAAAAACCTATGAGCTCAGATTTATAGTGATCCTTTTATTTCAGCCTCCGCAGCACTGGGGTTACAGGTGTATGCTACCATACCCGGTCTTGGTGGTTGACCTGGTATGCCCAGGAGCGGGGCCAGCACAACATGCAGTACAGGGGAACCAAGGATTGAACCCAGGTCCTTGCACTTGCCTAGGTAAGTGCTTAGACCGCTGAGCTATCTCTGTGGCCCTCTTTTTTGAGAAAGGGTCTCATTATGTAGTTCAGGCTAGCCTTGAACTCACTATGTAGCCCAGACTGGCCTGCTTCCACCTCCAGGATGCTGGGATTTATAGGTGCCAGAACTTATTTTAAAGACAAAAGTTTTCCATTTCCTCCCCTTATCTTTAACCATTCTCATCTCCTCCCACAATCAGTGCCAAAGATAAGGATTAGCACAAGATTCTCTGCTGTGATTGGTCTTGGCAAAAGTATAAGCCCAAAGTCTCCACAGGACAAAGCAAGCCCTAACAAGTTCATGTGCTATTTTGTTTTAATACAGTGTCTCACTATGTAGCTCGGGCTGGCCTTTTGTAGCCCTCACGCAGGTCTTGAATTCATAGAGATCCTCCTGGTTCAACCTCCCAAGTGCTGGGATTACAGGCATGTGCTACCATACCCAGTTCTGGGCAGAATGGTGGGTGCCCACATCTGGGACCAAGGTAGCACGCCCAGGCATCCAGGGCTAAGACAGCATAGCATGTGGGGCCGGGAATCAAACTCCAGTCCTTGTGCTTGCCAGGTAGGTGCTTATGTCTCTTGAGCTCTCTCTCTGGCCCCTCATCTGTCAAATTTTGACCACTCTTCCCAAATCAGTTCTGAACTTAGGTGTAATTCTAAGCAAGATGATCTGAGATACACCGCTTAAATGTCAATGTGGACTTAAAAAATCAGTGTTGAACAAATTCAGCTTCTAGGATGGTTACATTTTCTGTGTAGAATCCACAAAGTTTCATCCTCTTTTTTTTTTTTTAAGCTCAGCGGGATCTCTCAACCAAAACTGGAAGCAGAACAAGGCTCCCCAGAGCTACTGTGTGGAGCTCTTGCCCTCTCCACCCAGCTCCAAGAAGCCAGCCTTTAGTGAGATAAGCCTGTTGTGGGAGACAGCGACGGAGGAAGAGTTGGGAAGGCAAGCAAGAAAATACTTCCTGTTTCCCAGGGATAGGTACTTCACCAATGATATCCCATAATGTAGTAGAGAAGCCATCACCTTTCTGAAAGCATGTTTGCACAGCAGGCCTCATGCAAGGTTAATAGCTGGCTAGAGAGCACACCCATCCAGCAGGGAGCCCATACCTGTAGCTTTACACCTCCCTCTCTGGACTAGGTCTTCACTCTAAAAAACCAAGGAAAGAAAAATAAGTGGGCCATGCCTACTATTTTCAGAACTCGATATGTAGTTTCTTTGTAAAGAAAGTCCTTTTGCCTGTTGCAACAGAAGAAAAAGCGAAAGCATTTCTCCCTCTCCCATTTTTAAAGTTCACAATTTCATAAAGATAAACTGAGTTTCACAGCTCTAAACTAATTTGAAGGCTGGGGAGATAGCTCAGTGGTCTAAGTGCCTGCCTGGCAAGTACAAGGACCTGGGTTTGATCCTGGGCACAGCATGCTGTGCCAGCCCAGAACCTGGTGAGGTGGCACACATCTGTAATCCCAGCACTGGGGAGGCTGAGACAGGAGGATCACTATGAGTAACTATGAATCTGAGCTCTGTAGCGAGAACCTGTCCAAATAAATAGGACAAAGTGGCACATGCCTGTAATCCCTGCTACTCAGAAGGCTAAGGCAGGAGGAGTGTAGGTTGGGAGATGAAGTTTGGGCAAGCAAAGTACCTGCTTAGGCAGAGTGTAGTGGCCAGTGTTCCCTGAGACAGCGATTGAGACTGGGCATGGTCACGCATGAGAGGCTGAAAACAGGAGAATCACTACAAGTCTGACCTACATAGTGAAACCCTGTAGATCCTGTACTAAATGCATTTAATCTTTTTTTTAATAACTAAATGCATTTTTTAAAAAAAATAAGAAAGGGTTAGGGACACAGCAAAAGCCCTGGGTGGGTCAATCCCTTTTGAAAGTAGAAGGAGAAGGAAAAGAAAAACAGAGAGGAAAAAAAAGAGAAATGAGGAGGAAGAAGAAAAAGAAGGTCTGAGAGGCAGTTTGGCACAAAACTTTGGGTTCAAGGACACGGACACACACACACACACACACACACCCCTACATGTCGCAACAAAAAGCAGAACTAAGACACACAGGGGTGAATTCTACAGATCTAGGTCACCAAAACTATCATTTTATTTATTTATTTATTTATTTATTTATTTATTTATTGCGGAACCGGGGATTGAACTCAGGCCCTTGAACTTGCCAGAGAAGCTCTTAGTCCACTGAGCCATCTCCCCAGCCCAAAACTATCATTTTAAACATCAGCTTTGGGGCAGTTACAAGAAAGCCAAAAACTGAGTAATTCTTTTACCATCATGGATTACATTATTAAAGTGCTGTTCTTTACACGATCTTTTCCAAACATGTAAGTTCAGAGCATGAAACTCTTCTGAAGACAATCAAGTTTTTGCCTTATAGGAGAGTGGTAAACCACCAAAACTAAAAGATTCAGAAAATGGGGAAGTTAATTGAAGGTAAAAGCAAACGGAGGTACCACAAAACCAATATGTTTTATTTTTAAACATTATAGAACAATCTTGCAAGTAAAGATTGATTCTATAAAAGCTGCTCAAATTTCTACAAACTTCCATTTACAATGCATGCCAGCTGTACCTCTGCCTGGCCCTAGCCAGAGACACAACTATTCAAAGTCACTGCGGACAATACCTACCCTGGAAAATACTAACTTGAAAGACAATGACAGACAAGACCCTCTAACTGTAATGTGACACCCACTCTCCCTGGAGACAACATGCTTGTTAAGGGGTCTGGGATGTAGCTCAGTGGCATAGTGCCTGCCTGGCAAGCACAAGGTGATTCCCTGTAACAACAATAAACTAGGTGTTGTGGGGCACACCTATAAACCCAGTGCTTACAAGGCTGAGGCAGGAGGACTACTGTGAGTTCAAGAAGAGCCTGAGCTACAAAGTGAATTCAAGGACTATATATACAGAAACGCTATCAAAAGACAGAAACAGACAGACTTACTCAGTATTAATTTGGGAGGATGAGAAAAGATGATCACAAATTTTTTTTTAATTTTTTTTATTTTAACATATTTTGTGTGTGTGTGTGTGTGTGTGTGTGTGTGTGTGTGTGTGTGTGTTTGTGTGTGGCCAGCTCAGCCCACCAGGGGGCGCGGCTGGCTGGCATGTGGTGCTGGGGGATTGAACCGCGGTCCCTGTGCTTTGCCAAGCTTGTTCCAAGTAGGTGCTTTAGACCACTGAGCCATCTCTCCAGCCCCCTGATCACAAAATTTAGTCTAACATAGGCAATTTAGCAATACCCTGTGTTGAAACAAAGGGCTGGGGAATCCCTGTGTCTCAAAAACAAAATAAAAGTATTTAATTGGTTTTCATATAGACTCAATTACGTTTCTCATTTTGGTAATAAAGTAGTGGTACTTCAGTATGTTTAAGGCAAAATCTACACTGACAACAAACTAGATAGGCACAGTGGTATGCCTATAATCCCAGCGAGATGCCAAGCCAAGGTAGGGAAATCACAAATTTGAGTCCAGCCTGGATAACTCAGTGAGACCCTATCTCAAAGTAAAACTTAAAATGGCTGGAGAGGTGGGTTTGCTGGGGCACCCCTGTCATCCCAGTACCTAACAGGCTGAGGCAAGAGGATCACTGTGGGTTTGAGGTCAGCCTGGGCTGCATACTGAGATCTTGTCTCAAAAAAAAAAGATGACACCAACATCATGATCATCATGAAATGCCTGGAGATAAGATTTCAAGGGTAGAGTGACTGCTCTAGAATGTATGATGTCCTGGATTCAAAACACAGTACACATGTACACAGAAAAACCTAAAAATATTTACTTGGACCTGCCTATAACATGAAAAGTTACTAAAGGGGGGGGGGGAGTAGTTCAATGGCACAGTACATGGTCAGCATATGCATGCTCAAGCCCATAATTTCAATCCTCAGCACCAAAGACTGAATTTTCTTTGGAAGAAAAAGGAGGCAGGTGTGTTGGGGGGGAAGGAGAGGGAGAGGGAGAGGGAGAGGGAAGGAGCATGAGGTGCGGGAGGGCGTGGGAAGGAGCAAGAGCAAGCAGACATGATGGCTCAAATCAGTAATCCTAGCTATTGAGAGGTTGAGCATGTCATGGAAATTCAAGCACACTGTTTCAAAACACAAACACACACAAAGGAATCTGGGGATATAGCTCAGCAGTAGAGTGAGTGCTCCTGTTTTCAAGCCCCAGGACAGGACAGGACAGGACAGGACAGGACAGGACAGGAAGGAAGGAAGGAAGGAAGGAAGGAAGGAAAGAAAATTCCATTTTGAAAATTCACAGTATCTCCTCAGCTCCAGCAGTGCCACTACCATTGCAGCTGGTCTATCTCAGGTGGGACTCTGAGCCCATGGCCTGTCTCTCTTGAGAAAGGGCACAGACCATAATCTAAAAGTACCAACAAGGTTACTGAGACAAAGTTGCAGAGATGATGCGTGTTGAGAAGGTTCTGAAGTAGTGGTTACCTCGGAGGGGAAAGAGTAAGTTAAAATTTCTGTCAACAAGGCCAGGGCACCATGTTTCCCAAAATGTTGCTTGAAAACAGTTTAAGAAGCTCTCATTTTTACAGGCTGCTTCCACCTTATGCAAGCAGATCCGGGCTACACAGTGGTTGGGACACAGCTTCAGGACACAGGCAGCAGAGGCTGAGGGCAGGGATACTAAGCCAATGCATGCAAGGGTGGACACTTGCTGGGACCCAAAGAAGACAGCACTGATCTAGGGCTAGAAACACCCTAATTGCTTAACTAAGACAAAAGAAGGGCAGAAGGAGGGTGAGAGATGGTGGAAGAGGAGAGGGGAGGGGAGAAGAGGGGGGAACGAAGGGCAGGGAAGAAGGAAGAGACTTATACTACCCTGAAGCCACCACAAAAATAGCCACCACTGTATTCATCAATAGCAGTCCTTGCACACTCATGGAGGAATGTAGTCTAAGAAACTAGAAAGCATTGTTTTTGTGTATGCATTGTATGGGGAACTGATTCGTGAAAGTACTAAGCTATTCTAATCTGTTTAGAGATGGTCTCACTATATATTTCAGGCTGGCCTCCAACTCACAGGCATCCTCCTGCCTCAGTTTCCCAAGCACTGAGATTGTAGATAGTGTGTCACCATGCCCAGGTTTTGTTTTGTTTTGTTTGTGGTGGAACCAGGGATTGAACTCAGACCCTTGCGCTTGCCAACAAGTGCTTATACTCCACTGAGACATCTCCCCGGCCCCCTTTGTTTTGTTTTTTAAAGACAGGATGTAAATTCTGAAATTACCTCAGCTGTGCTTGAATTTGTAGTCCTCCTACCTCAGCCTCCCAGAGCATTGGGATTATGGGCATGCTCCTCCATGCCCAGCTGTTTTTTGCTAATCTATACAGTTCTAATCTTTACATATGAAAAAGTCCTTCCCAGGGAGATGGTCACTGACTTGAGTCATGCCCAGCAGGCACTGGGTCACAACTCCAGAAAGGGCTAGTGGCACAGTGACTCAATGACCTATGTGGGTACTGAGCCTACCTTGGCTTTATCAGCAAGACTCACTGTTAGTAAATGCTGTAAATAATTTCTTGAAACCGTTTCTGAAATAAGATAGGAGCTAATCAATAAATTCACATCTAGTTTAGAAGTTTTCAAAAGTGGAAGTGTTGGGGCCAGGGAGATGGCTCAGTGGAATAAGCGCTTCCCTGGCAAGTGCAAGGGCCTGAGTTCAATCCACAGTTCCACAAAAAAAAAAAAAAAAAAAAAAAAAAAAAGAAAGAAAGAAAAGAAAAGAAAGTGCAAGTGTTCTTCCCCTAAACATGGAAGTTAGTGAGGCTGTTAGGCTGAAGCCTGAAAGAGGAAGCAAGGGAGCAACAACTGTGTTTCTTCTGGTGCCTAGGGTACCTACTGTAGGTGTCCTGGAAATGTGAGAACACGGATAATTCAAAACAATAGATAACTCATCAACTGTATATTCAGCTTTGAAATGAATGATTATTGAGCAGCACATTTTTCTACCCTTAGATTAATAAAGGTATCAATGGTAACAGCTAAACATGGCACTGTATTTCAAGTGTAGAAACCCTTATCAACTAAAGGAGACAGGTCTTCCTGACAGCTCAGCAGACTAAAGTGCCTGCTTAGGCAGAGTGCAGGGGCTGGGATTTAATCCCATCCCCA